TCAACTGGAGTCGTTTCGATTCCCCGGTTGTACGTGACAAGGAGTAGGATGGCCTGTCCAACCTAGTGGGTTTTCTCCGGGTACTCCGGTTTCCTCCCACTGCTAAAGGTTCCTTCGCGCAAGCGAATTATTGAAATAAAATTGAATCATATGTTAGTCCCAAAATGACCTAGTTTGTGCCGAGTGGACGTTAAACCCCCTCTCCCTCTCCCCCCCTCTGTCTCTCTCTCTCTCTCGTTCAAAACATTGGGAGGGAAGAAAATAAAATACAGAATCCTGGGAAAAAAACAGTCATAAACAGTAATTGCATTCCATAGAATTTTGTCTTGTGTATATCCCGTTCATTTACTAAATACCACGATTTTATTTTTGTCTTCGGTAGCATCAAATAACGCCAACAGTTCTGTGACATTTCACAACTTTACCATTAGCCCAGATCCAGTTGAACTACCCGGGAATCTGAGTGTATCTGGTATAGTGACGTTTAACACAAATATTATTGGTAACTTGAGTCTGGAACTGGCTATAACTAGATCTTTAGGCTTCTTCGACCTACCTCTACCCTGTATAAATTATCTGGGAAGCTGGTTAGTTTTGTTTTAAACATATTTTATTGTACAAGAAAATATAAATACAATACAAAAGGATTCGGACAAAAGTAACAAAGGCTCACCGATGCCCCTTTCACAGTTATTATATATAGTTCAGTAATCTTGTGATTTAATGTTTCGGTATATTTTTCTACTTTTCAATGAAACCCAGTTTTAATTCGTCTTCAAATATGGCGTCCATTTCTATCGGCGTGTTTCAAGATTGCAAGCCCTGACGGCAAAAACGCGACGATCATCGTCCCTTTCGTCGAACTGACTTGCCGGCGACCCACAACTTTCAAAACACCTTAAGACAACACGCCCCCCCCCCCCCCCCCCAGCAAAAAACAATACAAAACAAAACGAAAACAAAAAACCCGTTCTAGTCACGCTACATCTGAAACAGGCTGATCTAAGTGAACGTTTTCAACACTCACCACACATGGACGTGGCCTCACGAATATGTATAAGAGGCGAATAAATCAAAGGGCCCAATTGGAGAAAACATTATAATGGCCTTTGCCTGTTGTTCAATCCAATTCAGTTTATTGAATGAAATATTGTTTAAACTAAAGGGCCCAATTGTTAGGTACCGAGTGAAGCGAAATCAAAAGACCTAATATATACGAATGGAATATGTTCAGTAACAGACTGTAGTCATTCAAATAAATATTATGGGTCTGTTTCCTCAATGTAAATTATTAGACTATTAAACTTTTCTTCTAAGTAGTTTTCGGGGTCACGGTGGCTAAGTGGGTAAGACGCTAGCTCGCTAGCCTGGAGGTCAGGTGTTCGATCCCTGCATTGGCAGAGAAAATTCTTCCGGATTATCCGGCGTGGTTCCCCCTTGTCACAGATGCAGGACGGAAGGCCTGACATGGACAGCTGTCTAGTCGTTCGGATGGGACGAAAAACCGAGGTCCTGTGTACACATTGGCGTGCACGTAAAAGATCCCTTGACAGTTGGAATTCGATATAAGAGCAGGCCGTAGTGCCACTGTCCGTATAACAAACTTTCCCTCACAGCATACTGTATGGCGTATGCCCGTCTTCACTAGCCCAGTTCGGAATCCCAGTTCGGAACAGAACAGTAGGACGTTAAACCCCATTTCATTTCATTTCTAATTATTTTTCAGCAAATATATAGATGTATGTTCAATATTAGATCAAGGTAAAAATGCCACTTTAACTTGTGCTGATCAGCTACGAGACAATGGATTTCCCTGCGCCTGTCCTTTTCTCAATGGAACCTATGTTGTAGACAATGCAGTATTCGAACTTCCTAAGCTTGAAGGACCCTTGGCTGCTTTTGCTAAGGTAAGAATACAACATTTCAGCACAGATAGCTAGAAGTGCCCTATGCAAAGTCAGAGGTAGAGGTGGGGGTGCGGCAAGAATTTTAAGATTGTCAATACACAGGATTTGATTTAATCTGGGGCCTGTTTCACCAAAATTTAAAGGAGCTAAATCGCTAATATCTGGGACCTAGAAATTGACCCAAATGGATCGCAACGCATATAATAATGTAATTTGATTGTATATAAACTGATTTACATTCAATTGTTTCCGTTTTTACTCTTATTTCCAATCAGTTATATCCAGCGAAATACGGCATGTGTCTCAACCCTATAGCAATTTCTAGCGTCTGGTCATTCCAGTCTATTGAGCAGGCTCCCAGTTGAATATGTCTAGCCTCGTTCTTTCTGGTCACTTGTTGCAAATGACGCTAAAACTCACTATGGTACACGATTCGTGTACCAATGGTAAAATGTTTATTTTGTCTTAAATATTGGGTATCAGAAGCCTGTCTTTTCCTGGTAAGATCACAACATCATTGTTGATTTGAATTGACAAATAATTTGTATTTTCAACGTGTAAGACTTTGGATGATATTGAGTTAGAGACTTAGCTACTTTAACTAAGATAAAATCCAAATTTTAGTAATTTGATTAGATAATATTAGATTGATTTTAGTGCTTAGCCAATCAAAATTGAAGTATCTACTAAAATTTGGATTTTATCTTTAGTTAAGATTTCGAGAAACAGACCCCTGACCTGTTCGAATATGCTGTTGCGTAAGGTGACAGGGTTGGTCGTGTGGTCTAACGTGCCCCAGTCAGTTCTGTCTTTCATCAACGCAAAGTTATAATAACAAGTACGATGGTACTATGGATCTATCTGTCATTGAGTCGACTGGCGTGGTTTCGAATCCCCGGTTGTACGTGACAAGGAGGAGGGTCGCCTGTCCAACCTCGTGGGTTTTCTCCGGGTCCTCCGGTTTCCTCCCACTGCTAAAGACCCCTACGCGCAAGCGAATTATTGAAATAATATTAAACCATATGTTAGTCCCGAAATGACCTAGTTTGTGTCGAGTGGACGTTAAACCCTATTTCTCTCTCTCTCAACTATGGATCTAGAAATGACAATGTTGTTGGATGTAATTCAAAAATCTAATTCACCAAATCGATGCAAAATCGTTCAAGCATGCCAATTTTCATTTCGATGGGACTTGAATTGACGGAATCTTAGGCTTTTCGAAGAGCGTCACCCCAACAACAAGACGAGTAGCGGATCATGGTTATCTGCCTAAACCTGTTGGTTGTCTAGGATTAGGGTTTGAGAAAAATTCTTTAACTCTTACTAGTAGTAAAAGTCTTAATTGGTGGGGATTTTCTTTAGTAACACTATAATTAAAATCTACATTGAAAAAGGTCGAAACTTCTTTGATCTCCGGGTCAAATACAATGTATGCGTTGATCCTCTTTGCGGTCTGACATCCTGTTTTCGTTCTTAAATGTACATCCATGGATAAAGCTACTGCAGGGCCGGATTAAGATCAATAGAGACCCTAAGCACTTAAAAGATTTTGGTGCCCCTGCTATTCAAAATATAAACAATAATAAACCATAAACAATCCGCCAAGCACGTGGTTGAAGTTGTTTCTAAGGTTTTATATACGTCATCATTTCTAATAATATAATAAGCTAAACCTGAAACTATTACTTTCAATAAAGCATATTTCCTCGTTAATCCAAATTACATATCGGATCAACTGAATTTAATACTTCATTTTGTCCTCAAGTGTCCTAAATCAAAGAGCTTTAGCTTATCGAAGAAAAGTATCTGCACATATGTTTCTTAAATGAATACCGAAATCTGGTTTCAAGAAATATTTCTTTAAAATTTTGTCGGATTCTTTTGTCCATTTCAGGGGGACTATACCATAAAACTAAAACTAGTTGATCTAGACACTAATGAAATATTGGGATGTGAAGATCTCCAATTTACCCTGACGGAGCCCCCAGTTGTACATATCCCAACAACCAAGGCACCATGTGGTTTCTTCTGTCAGCTAATAGGATAACTAAAAGACAATACCAGTGAATTGTATTTTTTGTAATTCAGGGAGAACGATCTAATAAAATATATTTCATATACCAAGTTTATCCACGTTGTTTTAGTGTTGAACTAGTATGAGCGTATTATATGGATAAGGAACCAAGGATGACGTCACCGCGGCCATCTTGAAATCGGATTTTGTCAATCGGTGCACATTTGTCCAAGGAACAAGCATGCGAAGTGTCGTGTTTTAATTGGCGGAGATTTAGGCTTTCCTGGTACAAATACCCATTTCATCATACTGGCGGTTCAGCCGCATAAACGTACATCTATAAGGTGGGAATTTTATTTTGGTTTGTTCAACTCTCGATTGTTAAAGCCCGTCGTACACGAGCAAATAGAGGAAATTTGCCACATTTTCATTTGCCATATGAGATTTGACAAAAGCTGGCATGCATAGCTTTTCGTCAAATAAATGTGTCAAAGATTTGGAACTTATGCTCGTGTACGATAGGCCGTCAAATAAAGCCCGTCGTACACGAGCAAAGAAAATTTGAATTTTTTTTTTTTACGGTCTCTTCAAATTTCCATTGACCGTGTACGAAGCCAGAAATTTATTTGACGGCAAATGAAAATGTGGCAAATTTCCTGTCGTACACGAGCAAATTTCTCTGACAAATCTCCATTTGTGAAAGAAAATTTGCTCGTGTACGACGGGCTTTAATTGCTGGCTTCGTACAAATTTGTCAAATGTTCTTTGCTCGTGTACGACGGGCTTAAAGGGGAAGACCAATGATTTTCAACAAAGCTTCCATAAATCTTAAATATACATTGATAAATAATCCCTTCTGTAACACAGGCAAAAATGTTTTTTTAAGCAAGAAATTAATTTTTATTAAAACCGGAAGTGATGTTGTTGGTTCAACACGCTCACTGGTCTCTAGTAAGCATACAGATTTGGCATAAGTTTGCTGCTCTATTTTGTTCACACCTCATCGTCTGGATGAGAATCCGGCCAAAGGGACACTTTAGATGAACTGAATGCTCAAACCCATCGCTTTTGACAACTAACTAACAGATTTTATGAGTTGAAATCTTTAATCAATTTACTTATGTTACTGTTTTACAACCTTTTATGTAAATAAAAATATTAAATAACATCAAACATATATATAAATGACATTTAGATTCAGAACTTGTTCAGGTATTTTATCAAACAATGTTGTCAAGCAATATCTATGAAATTGTGTTTTGTTAATAACAAACATATATAAATGTCGAAGTCGCGACAGACTTTTCATTTTCGACTTATTAAAGCGGAATTACCATTACCTATCCCGCCAAAAATTTTAGTTGACCATAGTTTCATTCCAATCAATGTACATGTATAATATATTATCGCGGTCACGCTGATTATTGAAGTGTATTTACATGTACGTACTTCTTCTTTCAAGTTTGGTTTTAATACTCTTACTGGGTATTGTTTATCGAACAAGTTTGCTATAAAGTTGTGCATTTTTAAAATTTACGACAAAACATCTATAAATGTCGTTTATGTCGAAATCGCGACAGACTCTTTATTTCCGACTTAATAAAGCGCATTGCCACTTGCTTCAAAAATATCAGTTGACTTATCTTCAATAGACGGCTTGGTCTCCCTTTAACTCCGTACACCTTAACAAGCCCGTCACGTAATGCCCTGCATATATCGTCACAAATTTCGATTGGACACTGACTCAGCTGGGGACCCCTGAGATTCCCCGATAAAAAATATCATCGCGAATAACCAAGTCTTGCGCTTTCCAAATGAAATGTGTACCCGTGATAATCGAGTTGCAACGTTCAAGGTTCGTTCAATGTCAAGGTTTCGTGGAACGACCATGATTGATTTGAGTGTGTTTGTGTCACGACCTCTGAATGGACAACGCTATTGTTCGCGTGTCTCTGGTAAAGGAAGATAACGTACCTATAAGTTCGGGAATTTCTGACTAATCTAGCAACGGCTAATGTTGTAAAACTCGCGGTCGTTGCTTCAGGTACATCCAGTTAACCACGCTTTCATTCGAATAATTATACTTTGTTTTTGTTCAGCTAGTTGATGTTACAGAAAGTTATCGTCTTCTACTAACCCCGTTACAGAGCCGATATACACGAACAAAGTAATTTCAAGGCATTGTGGTTCGTACAACGCTCGTGGCGGCATCCGAATCAACATCCGAAATTTTACAAATAAGAAGTCGAAATAAAATGGGTTTTAACTCTTAATTTTCTGTACTGTAAGTTGAAAAATGTTCACAAGTTTAATTAGTTGATTTACATGGAAATCTGATTAAAACACAGATCCTATTTCGTTTCGTTTTTTATAGTTCAAAATTTCGTTTTACTTGTCTTTACTACACTAGGATCTGGAAGAATTGTTATATTACCGGCGTTTTTGTTGAAGTGGGGAATAAGCCAATGAAACAGTCAGTTACGGCGATTGCTACGCACGGAACTGTGGGTAAACCACTAGAAACGCCAACGCTGATTGATTAATCAATTTCTGACGTCAAAAGCCGTAGTAGATGCCTGACACGACCTTCGAGTACAACTTGTCAGATCTTCGTGTAGTGTAGGCCATGAAAAGTATAAAAAAACGAAACGAAATATAGATCTGTATTGTACATGGAAGACACAATGACACATTACATTCCTAAAATAGTTTGTAGTAATAGTTGTTGGTTTAACATCTGCTTCCACAGTAGTGATATCGCAGAAAATAAAGTCAGGGTTAGAGTGTTAATAAGTTTGATCGTAAATGTTCAAATTACATCGATGACGTCATAAAAACCCTGAAAGCCATGGCTCCAGTGACGCCCACACCGGTTAAGAAACACACAAATCTGGACGGTTGTGGTAGAGGCACCATGTAACATGCGGTGTGTAGAAACCGGGAGGCTGCAAATGTCCTGAATAAAATGCTAGCAACTTCTGGATATGGTTCTGTAGCGACGTAGAATAAGCCAAATAAAACAAACGGTACAACATTCTCCACGTCATTTTGATGACATCTGAAAAATATGGTAACAATATACATACTCCTTGTCCACTCGGCAAGCTTCAGTACCACACATCTACCTTCGGCTGTATGACGAATTCCGCCATCGGAACTACTTTCAAGTTCTCGGATTACAAATGGCGTCGCCCATGCAGATGCCTGTGAAGGGTGTTTTATTATGAAAATTCTATACACTCTTCAAACGACGCAGATGTAGAGTACCGAGTCTGTCGAGGTTTGCCTTGGGATCGAAACCACGTCATTTGACTCAATGACGCGTGCACGATCAGTCAACCCCTCGATTGTATGCCCCTAGTACTGAGGAATATGGAAAAGGAAGGCATCTTAAAAGTCAAAATATACTTTCTATTCAAACTTAATTTCAATTGCACTCATTAATTGGTTGTCCCCTAAAATGGATGCCCGGCCCCGTCACCCACTGTTCTGCTCCGACTGAGATAATGAAGATGGGCATACGCCATACAGTGTGCTATGAGAGAATATTTGCCCGGGCAGCGGCACTGTGGCCTACTCTTATATCGAATTCCAACTGCCAAGGGATCTTTTACGTTCACGCCAATGTATACAGTAATTGTTTTAAGTGTGTCATTAAATATTATTTCATTTCGTTTCGTTTACCTTCTTATTCTTTCTACAGTAAGATCATTAAATCTGGGTTTTAATGATTTATCTTTACTTAGTTTACAGTCTTCTTCATTGGAATATGTCTGAAATATACATGTGATAGGCCTATATAGTAATGGGCATATCTATTCTATTTACCTTCTTATTCGTTCGATCGTCGGATCATCAAATCTGGGTTTTAATGATTTATCTTTACTCAGTTTACAGTCTTCTTCATTGGGGAAGCTCTGAAATATACACGTGTACCAAATGATGTATATGGTAAAGACCATATTCCCGAAGCAATGGCCCCAGAAATCCCTCTCTGGCCATTGCTGGATTGGCTTTTTGAGCTTTTGAGGGAGTTTGCCTATTCTTCCCGTTCAACCAAATCTATCCCAAGTACAGAAACATGACAGCCCTTCGTTTAATCTGGGTCTTCCCTAAAACGGGTCTCTTTCTGTATTAAAAAAATTGAATCTATTTAACGTCGAATTCAACGGAAGTAAACTGGTGGCGCGACTCCGCCTGATACAACGAGTTACCTCCCTTCTGTTGTGTTGGGATTACTAGACCATTCAAACTATTGATGATTGGGACTACTAGACCGACCAAGCTATATTATTGGGACTACTTGACCGTCAAATTTATATATTATTGGGAGTACTAGACCATCAAAACTGTATATTATTGGGATTACTAGATAGTCCAGACTGTATATTATTCAATCTGGTTAAAACACATATCCTATTTCGTTTCGTTTTGATAGTTATTATTTCGCGTTTTACTTGTTTTACTACACTTGGATCTGGAAGAGATGTTATTTAACTCGTGTTCTGAATGGTGTCAGGGATAAGCCAATGAAACGGTCTGTTACAGCGAGCTTTAGGCGTGTTTTGCACGGAACGGTGGGTAATCAATGCTGATTGGTTAATCAAATGTCTGACGTCATAGGTCATAAGTCGGTCTTTTGACCCCTGAAGTGACCTATGGCTATAACTTGCCAGATCTTTATGTAGTGTAGGCCATCGAAAGTATAAAAAACGAAACGAAATATAGATGTGTATTTTAATCAGATTGTATATTATTGGGACTGCTAGACAGTCAAAACTATACTGGTTCTACCCGACCGTCCAAACTATATATTATTGGGACTACTAGTTATATCTAGATAGTCACAATATATTAATAGTACAAGAGTACACATATTTGATTTGGTGTTGTATTTCGTATGAATTGAATTTATTATTATTAGGTCTAACTAGGGCTATCGCGATATTCGGTAAAGATCCCTCAGATAAAGGTCGGTCGTAACCCGATATCAGTCTTCTCAAGCGTGCTATGTGTTTGCTGTGGTAGATTGACTCATGGTTAAGCATATAGATTGGCTGGCCACGCTACACATTGTATCCCGTTTAGTTCATTCAACCGTGATGATAAACTGTCAATATATACAGTTAACAATGTATCATTCCAGCCTCTCTCCTCCCCACAGAACCCCTAAAAAATTACCTAATATTACCAAGTATCTACTATTATGAGACATGTCGTGAGAGATTTGGGGAATCGAGTTCTTTAAGTCTATTAGTTAAATCCTGATTTTATAAGCAGTTTAAAGTAGCCAAGTCTCTAACTCAATATCATCCAAAGTCTTCGACATTGAAAACACAAATTATATGTCAATTTAAATCAACATTGATGTTGTGATCTTACCGGGAAAAGAAGGGCTTCTGATATCCAATATTAAGACAAAATAAACATTTTATTATTGGTACACGTGGTACACGAATCGTGTACCATAATCCTTTTCAGCGCCATTTGTAACAAGGGACTCGAAGAACGCTTGACATATTCCACAAGTGATGTCAAACGGTGACCTCATATTCTTATCTGGAGAGCATGCGCAATAAATACTATCGGTGTAGACTGGAATAACTAGAGATTGCCTTTCGATTGAGACTAATTCTGGCATATTTCGCCGAACATATATACTGATTAGAATTTACAAAAAAACAGAAACGACTGAATGTAAATCAGTTTTATATACATTCATACATTATTATATGCCTTGCGACCCATTTGTGTCGATTTCTATAGTTCCCAAATATTAGCGATGTAGCTCCTTTAACTGTATGTAAGCCTAAAACTTAACCTACATGAATGTCCTTGAGAGAATTAGGTCGACTGCTGGCTGTATGTATCACTACTACATAATACAACCTGTGAGTATGCTACCATTGAATATACCGCACACACACGTATATCACTTATGATAGCTGAACAATAAATAAATTATATAACATCTGTATTTGGATTGGTATAAGCCTATGTTATGAAATGAAATGGAATGGGGTTTATACTATTCTGCTCCAACTGGGCTTAATATGGAGACGACCATACGCCATACAGTGTGCTCGGTCGTTCGTAACTAACGTACGAAAATTAAATGGTAGCTTGGCTTTCTTCTCTGCAGATTGACATTGTGCTGTGAGGGGAAACTTTGCTCCGACAGCAGCGCTATGACCACTTACTCTTAAATCGAAGTCCAACGTTCACGCCAATGTGTACATAGGATAGGACCTAGCTTGCGGTATACCTGTGTACAATAATAACGTCCCTGTGCAGTTTTAGACTGCAGTTTTCTTACTAGTATATACTCTAACTAACATGATACGTCACTGTACTTACATCATGGCTGAGTCTGAAGAAAGACGTTATTGGTCCCATTAACAGAGTTTTACCAATAACAAGCCCTGAATAAAATGCAAATTGTTGAAAAACAGGATTCCCGAATGATAGTACGTCCGACATGTTGATTTTTTCTCGTCTGTTGGTTATTGGGATATATTTAGTATCACGTTAGGTGTGGTAACGGTTGGATAGCTTCGTATAGATCTCACTAGTCAGCTGTTGAACGTACGGTATGACGAGAGAGGGAGAGAGAGAGAGACTCTGCAATTTATGGTTGGCCTCATGGATTGTTTTAGGCCCTCGTTTTTCTCTTATAAAGACACATGTAAGAGGTAAATCTCCTTTATTTTAGCCTCAAATTTTATACAAACTACTATTTAGACATTATTCACGTAACCCACCCTATAGAAATGAAATGAAATGAAATGGGGTTTAACGTCCTACTGTTCTGCTCCGAACTGGGCTAATGAAGACGGGCATACGCCATACATTGTGCTATGAGGGAAATTTTGCCCGGACAGCGGCACTACGGCCTATTCTTATATCGAATTCCAACTGTCAAGGGATCTTTTACGTGCACGCCAATGTGTACACGGGACCTCGGTTTTTCGTCCCATCCGAACGACTAGACAGCTGTCCTTGTCAGGCCCTCCGTCTTGCATCACTGACAAGGGAGAACCACGCCGGAAAATCTGGATGAACTTTCTCGGCCAATGCAGGGATCGAACACCCGACCTCCAGGCTAGCGAGCCAGCGCCTTACCCGCTTAGCTACCGTGATCCCCCCCCACCCTATAGACTATCGGATGACGGAGATTTAAACCGATTGAAACGCGATCGTCATTTACTGATTTAATTTTATAAGGGTGAATATAGGTTTAGTCTCGATTAACCAGTACAGTTGCCATTATCATAAACATCTATGCCACACTATGTCAAAACTTCAAACTGTGATAACTTTACTCAGAATAAATTAATTTGAATAAAATTTTGAATAAATCCATTTTACATTATATATTTTTAAACTATTATAGCGAAAATTAACAGCTCCTTATCAAATCTTACATAATGCATCCTTAATTCAGAAAAATAAAACATAATGCCCAAAATCAATTTTTTTTTTCTCAAAACAGTAGGACGTTAAACCCCCTTTATTTCATTTCAGTTCAGGTTTTTTTTTATTCGCATACTTAAACTTGCGTACTGTGAAATCTGGGAATCCCCCTGATTAAAAGGGAAACTCCCTATAAATAAAAACATGGTAATCGAATCATGTTTTGTAAGCATTATTTAGATCTACTTAATGTCATGAAAACTTTTATTTTATATCCGGGTCCTGGTGTGCTAATATGTCAAATGTATTATCTCTTATACTTTCACGCCTTTTTGTCGCATCCTATTATCTAAACGGCTCAGTTAATCGGTTTGACCTCCAGCGGTTTGACATCTTAACAATTGTTTGCGATATTACCCTTTGTGATAGTGGACAGTAAACTTCACCTATCAGACAGGCTTGTATTTACAGTTATTACTGGGATATAAGTTCAATTAAGTCAGGGTAACACTGTTGACTTTTGTCATCGGGTGTGGTGTAAGAAATTAGATGAAATGAAATGAAATGGGGTTTAACGTCCTACTGTTCTGCTCCTATACTGGGCTACTGAAGACGGGCATACGCCATACAGTGTGCTGTGAGGGAAATTTGGCCCGGACAGCAGCACTATCGACTACTCTTATATCGAATTCCAACTACCAAGGGATCTTTTACGTGCATTCCAATGTATACACGGGACCTCGGTTTTTCGCCTCATCCGAAGGACTAGACAGCTGTACTTGTCAGGCCCTCCGTTCTGCTGTGGTGTAAGAAGGACGTTATTTTCTGTTGTACTGCGTGATTGTTCATATGTCTAGGGACGCCCAGATTGGTTTGCCCTGTGTTGTCTTGAGTTGCAATATATTTCCTACCGATTTGAGCGTGGGGTTTTCCTTTGGCTCACATAGTAGGGAGATAAAGAAGAAAATAAATTGTATTGATGCCATGCTGTGAGTCGCGCGTTCGATTCCCGACGGGAATTTGGGTATTTAATGATATGATACATTGACAGCCAGCCTTTCATCTGATCTTTGTGCTCTGATTTCATAGTCGCTGAATGTTCTTAGCAGCTGATTGTAACAATACCAGTTACTAACTTTTTAAAACCTCCTGTCAGTAAACAGTTACTAATACGATGTTTTTGATTTGTTAATTTAAATTAATTGCCCATATAACTTCAGTCATTTAGTCTATGTTCACACTGCCGAAGTTTTTTTGGTAGTCAAATATGGTTACGATTTTGAAGTTGTTCGATTCTCTAACTAAAATTCTATAGCCTGAACGCTAAAGGTTGACTTCTCTTCACAGATAAACTTCTGAGGACTTTTTTTTCTGTATAAAGTCTACAGTGTAGCCCTAGCATAAGACTATGGATACGAAAAACACAACACAGTTTATATGGAAATACAATCACTGGTTTATAAGTATAGCACGACGTTTCGACAAGTATTCTCTTATCGTTATCAAGCACAAATGATATTTAGTTAAACTAAAAGGTGATATTTATAGTAAAACAAAAAAGAAGCCATAAAAGTTAGGTTGTTACAGGTTTTAACAAATTTACCTTCTAGTTTACTAAGTTCATTAACACACTTAACTGCCTCATCTCCATACTGATGACGAATATAATCCTTGAGTGGCATTTAGCGATTGAACACATTAAAAACACAACACAGTTTATAGAAGGTAAATATGTTAAAACCTGTAACAACCTAACTTTTATGGCTTCTTTTTTGTTTTACTATAAATATCACCTTTAAGTTTAACTAAATATCATTTGTGCTTGATAACGATAAGAGAATACTTGTCGAAACGTCGTGCTATACTTATAAACCAGTGATTATATTTCCATATAAACTGTGTTGTGTTTTTAATGTGTTCAATCGCTAAATGCCACTCAAGGATTAGACTATGGATACGATTTAAGGCTAGACAACAGGCAGTGTGATCCCGGCATTAGTTTAACCTAGGTTACAATAACTATGATAACACTGTCCACAGTTTGTGACAGTTAAACCATCATGGCGACCACAATCCCTCTCATAGATTTCCAGCATTACGGTCTGCATGTAGAAAATACAGAAACAATTTCTGATGAAGATTTAAAACAACTTGGAGAAGAAATTCACGAAGCTTTTCGTACGATAGGATTTTGTTACATCAAGAATCATGGGATTTCACAAGAACTCGTAAGTCTTTGGTAAATCATCTCTTTGGTCAATCGGGGGGTTGGGTGGCTGAATGGTTAATGCGTCCACGTTTGATCATAATGTCTGCCATTGAGCCAAGTGGCGTGGTTTCGATTCCCCGCTTGTGCGTGGCAAGGAATAGGTCACCTGTCCAATCTCGTGGGTTTTCTATGTGTCATCCGATTTCCTCCCACTGCGAAAAGGCCCCTGGCGAATTATTGAAAAGAAATTGAACCATACGTCAGTTTCAAAATGACCTAGTTTGTGTCGAGTGGATGTTAAACCCAATCCCCTCTTTAAGGCGACGTGCGGCGAGAGCATGCGCTGCGATACATATCGGCAGATTATGATTAACAGTTTTTTTTTATGCAATTTGTCATTAGAAGTATCTGTCAGATAAAAATCAGCATTGTGGGACGAATGACCTACTTATTTTCGAGGGAATCTATCTTTATCTATGAATTCGAACGCCACCAATGTTATTACTACATGAATAATATCACAGCCCTATAAACTTTTGTATTTACAGGTTGACAAAGCCTTTAAAATATCGAGAGACTTTTTCGATTTACCAGTCGACACCAAAACAAAGGTTAAACGGCCCATAGACTCTAACAATGGCTGGGTTGCACCCGGTCGAGAAAGGTAGCTATTAGGTTAGATCTAATTATTAAGGTCACCTGCAGATTTGGTCAAAGGTCACGAGCTGTAAACGAGCTAGCGCTAACCCTAATCCTAACCCACAATCTCGCCAAGAATCACGTGCCCTAACCCTATTTACATCTCGGCGACCTTGAGAAAATCTGCAGGTGACCTTAATGTTTAGATCTAGTGATTGTGGTTATTGGAAAGAAATGGAGTTTAACTTCCAACCGTGTTAATGAATACGGACAGTGTGCTATGGATGAAAGTTTTGTTTGGCATAGGCATAGGCATAGGAGCCCAATCTCAGTTGAGGGTGGGGTGGGGGATTGAGACTACATCCTAAAAGAACTGAGAAAATGGAGCCGCGGTGGCCCAGTGTGTAGGAAGCTCCCTTACAAGGTAAGGTGTTCCTGGGGTTCTATCCCGGTGTTGGTCGAGAAAGTTCCCGGATATTTTCTGGCGTGACTTCCCCTTGTCTGTATCCGGTTTCCTCCCACTGCTAAAGACGCCTACGCACAAGCCATTTATTGAAATAAAATTGAACCATGAGTTAGTTCCGAAATGACCTTTTTGTGTAGAGTGGACGTTACCCCCCCCCCCCTCTCTCTAAGGCATTCATCCATTCAAGTCCGACGTACTTCACGATCCGCACTCGATGAAGTGACAGATTCCACTACACTTTGATGTACACGAATTTGTTATTCTTGGTGCTACTGGGCAAACATTTCCCACAAAGTAATCGAGTTAATGTTTCATAATGTATTTTCTTTCAGTTTAAATCCTGATCGTCCAGGTGATCTTAAAGAAGCTTTTAATTTTGCTCCTTCTGGTGAAAAAGTGAGTTTATTTATATCCATTATTTATTTTATACAATATGGGATGGTAGAGCCGGCGGAGGGGGGGGGGGGTCCCAACCAGACCCAAGGCGGCGGGTTCCAGTCGGTACATCACTCTGGGTCGCATGAAGCTCTCGATGTCCTTTAAATATATGTTTAATTTTTATTACGTCGACATGGCCCACAATCCGAGCCTCGATGTGCTATTTCGGTTTTCCAGTTAGAAACCTTATGAATTGTAATGTAATGTATAATGTGGGGGAGGCGTGGCAAAGTTTTTCTCCGGCACATAAAAATTATCCCAGTGTCCCGTGGTTTATCGTCACCCCCCCCCCCCCCGCTCCCACTGTAGACTGTAAGACCCGGTTATTTATGCAAGTCTCCTGCGAGATCTTATACATGTGCATTCGTCGGTCTGCCCAATCATGTGGGTTTTTGTTTTAATCCTTTATTAAATCCATTTTCACGATCTTCGTCAAACCGTGAAATAAAATTACAAATCGTATTTCATAAGATAAACCAGAAAACGCTTCCCGACAAAGCTATAGTGTATTCATCCAGTGGCGTAAGATGCGGGTTCGGTAGCCTGGAGATCACGTGTTCGCTCCTTGTGTTGGCCGAGAAAGTTCCTCGGGATTTTCCGGCGTGCTTTCCTCTTGTCAGAGGTGCAGGGCGGATGGGGAGGACAAGGACAAGGTCTCGTGTACACATTGGCGTGCACGTGAAAGATCCCTTGGTAGTTGAAATTTGATATAAGAGTAGGCCATAGCGCCGCTGTCCGGGAAAAATTTCCCGCATGGCGTATTGCATGGCGCATTGCCGTCTTCATTAGCCCCGTCGGAGCAGAATAGTAGGACGTTAAACCCCATTTCATTTGTATTGGACTGTGATTCAAAGGGTAACCTCTAGTCACATCAACACACGTGACTCTATTACAAAATGTCGTTTGTTTTTCTTTATCAATTACATACCGTTAAACAGTCATTCTTGCCCCACTTTCCCCTATCACTTTACATGTTCCCATGTGGGGAGACCACTTGCTGAAATTCGATTTTGTCGAACTCATCCATACTCTATTGTATTTTGATTAATTATTGTGGATTAAATTGATTATTTATTTTAAAAAACAGATTTTCCCAGATTCAGACGTACTAGAAATGAGAAAAATATTTGATGAATTTTTCGCAGTTTGCAAGAAAATGACGTTCCGAATTCTTGATGTTCTTGCTGTGGGGTTAAAACTTGAGGTAATTGGTCATTTTTAAATTTTTATATATTTAGAACAGTGATATACTAAGGTTGTCTTTAATGTTTCAACCATCATATTATTCAAAAATGCAACAAAAAATGTCAGCTCATGCATGGTTTCGGGTAAGATCCAAGTGTTGTCCGCGGAGGTTCCTGGTGATTTCGTGCCAGGTATTCCCCATCTTCAATAACAGGCTTCATCTCGCTTTTCGCGTAATACCCTGCATATTGTGGTGCAGGACGGAGGGCCGGACAAGGAAATCTGTCTAGTCGTTCGGATGGAACGAAAACCCGAGGTCCCGTGTATACATTGGCGTGCACGTAAAAGATTCCTTGACAGTTGGAATTCCATATAAGAGTAGCTCGTAGTACCGCTGCCCGGGCAAAATTTCCCTCATAGCACACTGTATGGCGTATGCCCGTCTTCATTATCCCAGTCGGAGCAGAACAGTAGGACGTTAAACCCCATTTCATTTCCTTCCAGAGATCGCCACGTTTGATTTGACCGTGTTTGTATGACGACCTCCGATTAGAAAACGCAATTGTTCACGTGTCTGCAGTAATGGGAGATAACATACCTATAGATTTGGCAATTTCAGATTAATGTAGCAACTGCTACATTTTCCCATGTCAGTGATGCAAGACAGGCAGTGGGAGAATCAAGGAAAAGCGCCAGGCAATCGGACGGCACAAAAACCGAGGCTACGTGTATACCTCTGAAGATCCCATATCAGTTTTGAATCTAAATATGCCCGTCTTCGTTAGCCTCGTGGTGCTGAACAATCTGATTAAAACACAGATCCTATTTCGTTTCGTTTTTTATAGTTCAAAATTTCGTCTTACTTGTCTTTACTACACCAGGCCCACTCGGCAAACCTCGGCAGATTCCGGAACCCTACATCTAGCCTCGGCTGTATGACAGTAAGTGATATGCACCTACGCCTATACATTTGCGATGCGGCACCGGTTTACTTATAAGGGAAACTTGCCCGCGTTTAGAAAGAAGTTCTCAAAATTGCGTCGTTCGAAGAGTGTGTAGAATTTTCAATGCAAATTTGTCCTTGTCTAAAGAAAATCGGATAAACTTGAAAGAAAAACAGCTTCAAACTTTGAAAATTTTGTATGATAAAACATTCTTCAAATACGTCATCATCAATGACGTCATTAGTCGTCATGGACAACGCCATTGTAATCCGGGAACTTGAAAGTAGTTCTAATTGCGGACTTGGTCATACAGCCGAGATTAGATGTAGGGTACTGGAATCTGTTGAGGTTTGCCGAGTGACACCAGGCCATCGAAAGTATAAAAAAACCGAAACGAAATATAGATCTGTATTTTAATCAGATTGGGTGCTGAAAAGTAGTAAGTTAAACCCCAATTCGTTTTGTGTCAGCTAATGGGATATGGTCTAATTCTTAGATTGTAGTCTCTGAAACACAGTTCTAGTTGTCGCTGCCCCTACACCGAGCAACACATTTTTCCAAGCACGATAGAATATCAGTAAACTCACTTAAAAATTATGGACTTAAACATACATTATGCAAGAGCTAAATCTGCCATTTGAAGGTCTTTCTTTAGGCCTGAAATGTTATCATCTAAATTATTAATTAGACATTAATTAACTTATCCAGAGTATAATCAACTCTCGATGGCATCGCTAGCCTGCGATATTTGCTGGATTATGATCCTATTTGCTGCTCGACTTCCATTCATAATTTAATCATGAAATGGATGATCGAGACTATGTTTTTATCGTACAGACTTTAGTAATTTAAATCGCTTAATTCTCGGTTCATAGTGGATCAATGTGACTGAAATTTTCAGCAAATTGCCTTTACGTTATCTAGTTTTTCACTATTATAGTGAGAACTGCCAACTCGTTATCGAATCTCCCATAATGTATCTTTAACGTGCTATACTTTGTCCTGTAATATAATACACAACTGATTTTGATGCATTTCTCTTTTTGCTACAGGATCGAGATTTTCTCAGACAATGTCACCAGGATATCGGAAATAAAAACCAAACGACGCTAAGGTCGTTGATGTATCCACCATTACCCACAGACGGAAGTAAGTGTATTTATTAGTATAACCTGACAAGGAGTATGGTCGAATGCCGAACGGGAGTCGAGGTGGCTCAGTGAGTAAGCCGAGGATTCTCTAACCCAGAGGTCCCGAGGTTCGACCCGGGACTTGTTCGAGAAAGTTCATCGCGATTTGCTGGTGTGCTCCCCCTTCTCAGTTGTGCGGGACGGAGGGCTTGCCAAGGGGCAATGTCTAGTCGTTCGGAAGCGTGCTCGTAAAGGAACATCAGTTGGAATTCGAAATAAGAGTAGACCCTAGCGCCGCTGTCCGGGCCAAATTTTGTTCTACATTAGACCAGTCGGTCCAGGAGATTAGGATGTTAAATCCTATTTAATTGTATTCGCCAGCCTCATAACCTCGTGATTTTTTCCCAGGATTCTGTATTTTATTTTCTTCCCTCCCAATGTTGTGGACCAGAGAGAGAGAGAGAGAGAGAGAGAGAGAGAGAGAGAGAGATGAGAGAGAGAGAGAGTTTAACGTCCACTCGACACAAACTAGGTCATTTCGGTCGGGACTAACATATGGTTTTGATTTTATTTTAATAATTCGCTTGTGCGTAGGGGTGTCTTTAGCAGTGGGAGGAAACCGGAGGACCCGGAGAAAACCCACGAGGTTGGACAGGCAATTCTACTCCTTGTCACGTACAACCGGGGATTCGAAACCACGCAAGTTGACTCAATGACAGGCCTTATGATACAGCGCTCACTTGATAACCATTCGGCCATCCAAGCCCCCTTGTGGACCAGAGAAGACCCATGAGGCTTGTACAAGTGATGGTGGGATGACCCATGAGGCTTGTACAAGTGATGGTGGAATGAAAGGAGTTGAACACCTTGAAAGTACCCTGGGTTACTCCGAAGAAATAAATTGGTCTTTAATATCTTGTCAGCACCATATTTTGTTCTATTTTGGATAAAGTTATGGTCTTTTGTATTTCTAGTGTTACCCGAGATAGGAAAATTTTGCCAACGTGTATTCTAATTACAGACTTTCCTTGTCAGTCTTAGCCCTACCATACTAAACTTACGATGTCTGCATACACTTAACCCCGCTTGAGAACAGACACTAAGTTAGTTGACCGTAACTTCAGACAAACCGTAACCCCCTTGGATGTGGATTTCTTTATTCTCATTTTGTTGAACGACTTGTTTCTGATATACTATATTATAGGTATTTTACCTGGTCAGGTGAGATGTGGAGAACATTCTGATTATGGTACAGTAACTATGTTATTTCAAGATGATGTCGGTGGTCTAGAGGTGTGTAATACAGCAGGTGAATATATCCAGGCTACACCTGTACCAGGTGCTATCTGTGTTAATATTGGTGACTTAATGCAAAGATGGACGGCAGATAAATTAATGGCCACGGTAGGTATAGGTCATTCTACAGTAGTATCATACAATAACCCGTGTTAAAAGACCATCCTCAACAATATGATATAATAGCCTGTTTTAACAGACCACTATACAACGATATCCTATAATAACCTGTATTCACAGTTAACATACAACAAATTCACACAATAGCCTGTGATAACAGGCCACCCTACAACAATAGCATACAATAACCCGTGTTAACAGACCGCCACATAACAATATCATACAATGACATGTGTTAACAGGCCACTATACAAAAATCACATACAATGATCTGTGTTAACACCACTATACAAAAATATCATACAACGACCTGTTTAAACAGGCCTTCATACAACAATATCATACAATGACCTGTGTTAACAGACCACTATACAAAAATATCACACAACGACCTGTGTTAACAGACCAACATACAAAAATATCATAAAATGACCTGTGTTAACAGACCATAATACAAAAATATCATACAACGACCTGTGTTGACAGACCGTCATACAACAATATCATACAATGACCTGTGTTGACAGATCTTCATACAACAATATCATATTTGTAATTAGTGATTGTTATATATGATGATCTATTATAATAGATCATCATATATAACAATCACTAATAGAACTCAATACCAAGGTATTTTAACAGACTACAATACTACCACCTTACTATGATAGTGTAAAAATAGATAATGAAAAATGAATATATTGAAAATTTCGCTAAAATTATTCCATTCTGAGCAAAGTTATGAGAGTTTGAAGTTTTGACAATATAGTTTCGATTGTCAATTACCATTGCTACGATAATAAACAATGTCTTCGATTAACCATTTTTAAATTAAATTATTAAATGGCGATTGTGTATTAATCCATTTAAAATCACGGCCACCCGACGGTCTTGAGTGTTGAGTTTGAGCTTGTCATGTGAATATATTTCTAATTAATAATTTATATAGCATTTGAAGCCAAAAGGGGGCGTGCAATAACATAACATAACCACTCGGTAAATCTCAGCAGATTCCAGTACCCTACACCTACACATTGTTGTGTAAATAAAGATCTAATTTATAATTTCTATAACATCTGAAGCCTACATAAAGACTTGCAATAATCAGATTCAGCTCTTGCATAATGTATGTTTAATGGACAGATTTAGCTCTTACATAATGTATCTTTAAGGTTAACATGTCATTGACTGACATATTTCAACTAATTTAGTTAGAAATACAGAGATAATTCTATATCGATTTTGAAGTGTGTTGAATTACGAAAGACACAGGATAAAGAATCCACTATCTGTAGCATTTGCCCTAAAATATACCCAGTATTTACGTCAGGTGGTGTGTATTTACTCTTTTTAGAACAACCGATAACACTTCTCACAATCTGATTAAAACACAGATCCTATATTTAGTTTCGTTTTTTATAGTTCAAAATTTCGTTTTACTCGTCTTTACTACACTACGATCCGGAAGAGTTGTAATAATACCGGCGTTTTGGTTGAAGTGAGGGATTAGCCAATGAAACGGTATGTTGCGGCGAGTTCTTGGCCTTTTGATGCACAAAGCTGTGGGTAAATCACCAGAGACGTGAAAGCTGATTGAGTAATCAATGTCTGACGTCATAGGTCAAAAGCCGCTCGTTTGACCCCTGACGTGAACTCCCACTACAACTGGTCATCGAAAGTATAAAAAAACGAAACGAAATATAGATCTGTATTTTAATCAGATTGCAATTCTCACGTAAATAGTTGGCAGCCATAGTTATCCATTTTTGTTATACTTTTTTTTTTCAGAAACACCGCGTATTAATACCAGAAGATGAAGTCCGGAAGAACAAGGGGAGACAGTCCATGGCGTTTTTTATTCACCCAGACGACGACTGCCTTATTAAATGTTTAGATGGGTCTGATAAATACCAGCCTATTACAGCTCTAGATTATCTCAACTGGAGATTCAGTCTCACTTTTAAAAATTACTAGATTATCTCAGCAGGAGATTTAGTCTCAATTTTGAATACCTCTAGATTATCTCAACTGGAGATTTAGTCTCTCCTATTAATAGACATTACCATAACGGGCTATTATCTTAATTTGGTGATTTGTTTTCATTTTTGAATACCGCTGAATTTTCTCAACTGACGATTTGGTTTAACGTTTCGATAACTCTAGAGTATCTCAACTCAACATTTCGGTTTACTTTTGAATAGTTCTATATCATCCCATTTTGTTATTTCATAAAAGAACATTTTATATGGATTTTCTTCGCTCATTTTGTACACTTATATTATCTCACACTGGAGATTTTGTCTTTTTTTATAAATGGACATTTTATACAAATTGTCGTCACTCATTTTGTACAACTCTTAATAATTTTAACTGTAGAGTTTTAAATAGGCAGTGACTATATGGAATATGTCAAAAACTTTTCATTGATTCTATAAATCAAATATACGATAAAAACACATTTACAAGCGGTGATTCAAACAGAGGTTAGCCCTACCCAATCTTCAATAGAAGGCTTGATCTCGCTATAACTACGTACATCTTATCAAGGCCTTCGCGTAGTACCCTGCATATTTCGGCACTAATTTAGATTGGGTACAAGCCCAGCTTGTGAGCTTATCAGATTCCTCGATCGTCGCGATTACCAAGTCTCGCGCTTTCAAGCTAAAATGTCTACCTGTGATAATCGAGTTGCAAAGTTCAAGGTCCATTCAATGTCAAGGTTTCTGTTGAGGTCGCGATGTCACAACCTCTTATTGGACGCTACTGCTCATGTGTCTGTAGATAACATATAGCTATAAGTTCGGGAAGTAAACAAGCAACGTCCAGATATTGTAAAACTCACAGTCGTTGCTTCGGGAACATGGCCCAACTCTTACTTTAACGGAAAGTTGATTGGGATTTTCCGGCCTGGTTCACCTTGTCAGTTGTAAAGGGCGAAAGGCCTGGCAAGGGACAATGTATAGGCATTCGTAGGAGTCGAAAAACCGATGTCCCGTGTACACATTGACGTAAAATAGCCCTTGCCAGCTGGAATTTGAAATAAGTGTAGGCCATGGTGTCACCGTGACAAGTTCTAAAACAGTGTAAACCCGTTTTAGCAACATTTTCCAGAACGTAGTGAGAACTAGTTTGGTGTGATGGTGGCTTAAGACCATAAGATCCGTGACAAGTTCTAAAACAGTGTAAACCCGTTTTAGCAACATTTTCCAGAACGTAGTGAGAACTAGTTTGGTGTGATGGTGGCTTAAGATCATAAGATCTGTGATTTGGGCAAAACTGGCATGTTTTCGATTCCCCGCTTGTACGTGATAAGGAGTAGGGCCGCCTGTCCCACCTCGTGGATATCCCCCGGGTCCTCCGGTTTCCTCCCACTGCTAAAGACCCCTGTGCGCAAGCATACCTTAGTCCTGAAAAACCTAATTTGTGTCGAATGGACGCTAGCCCCAGCCTCCCACTCTCTTTGGGGGGTTGGATGGCTGGATGGTTAGCGTGCGCGCGCTGTATCATAAAGTCTGTCATTGAGTCGATTGGCGTGGTTTCGAATCCCCGGTTGTACGTGACAAGGAGTAGGGTCGCCTGTCCAACCTCGTGGGTTTTCTCCGGGTCCTCCGGTTTCCTCCCACTGCTAAAGACCCCTATGTGCAAGCGAATTATTGAAATAAAATTGAACCATATGTTAGTCCCGAAATGACCTAGTTTGTGTCGAGTGGACGTTAAACCCCATTTCTCTCCCCCCCCCCTCTCTCTCTCTCTCTCTCTCTCTCATTATACTTAAAATTATGTCGTGAATTGCCCTCCATATCGTTAACAGTATCGGCACGCCCATATCAATAAGAAACAGGTAACCTATTTAGTTCGTGACAGTGAATCCATCATGGCGACCTCAATCCCTCTCATAGATTTCCAACATTACGGCCTACAAGTAGAAAATACAGAAACAGTTTCTAATGAAGATTTAAAACAACTTGGAGAAGAAATTCACGAAGCTTTTCGTACGATAGGATTTTGTTACATCAAGAATCATGGGATTTCGCAAGAACTGGTAAGTTGTGTCTTTGGTTAATCAGCGCTGTCACAGCAGACGATCGGGTCGAATGAAAACTGGAACCTGGGGCCTGTTTCACGAAATTTTAACTAAGATAGAATCCAGATTTTAGTAATTTGATTGGATAATATTAGATTGATTTTAGTGCTTAGCCAATTATCTACTAAAATTTGAATTTTATCTTTAGTTAAAATTTCGAAAAACAGGGCCCTGGATTCATTGGGTCCAGAATTCAATTCTTTACCATATGTCACTGACGTCACCTTTTCCAAACTAACAGACAATTGACTCAATGACCGACATTATGATCCTTTCATTATAATTAAAGAGCCAATTGCGATTATATTTTGGAGAATAAAACTGCTTAATTTTGCGTTAAAGGCTCTTATCCTCTATCTTAGGGCCGAGCAACTAACCCAATATACGTGATACGTTTTCAAAGAACTCAAACCCGTCAGTCTTTGTCTGGAAATGTAGACGGGTGCCCCAAGCTGTACATAAAACCAAACTTTTATTTTATAAAAAGTACGTGTAGGTAAAATTTACCTTCTTTATCAAATATCACTCGTGGGTCATTCACTGTACAAACCTCTAAAAGAACGACAAAAAATTATCAAGTAACCCATCCCGAAATCCTAAAAGGGTTACGTGTCCGGATAAGCGTTTTTTGGCGTTCACGTCCAAACGACTCAATATTTTGAGCTGAAATTTTAAGACAAGGCCAATACACCATTCCTTTATATGTTGGCGTATAAATTTCATACTTATACGGACTTTTATTTCGGGATGGTCCCTTTAAGTATAAAGTTCAGGACGATCGACAGTGGGGCGTACAACGGGTGTGGGGAGTCAGTACACATGTAGTTCCAAATGTAAGCAGCTCCAGCATTGAAATTGCCCGCTCATCCCATCCCCCATCCTCCCCAACTAAACAACCATAACCCCCGACAGAGCGCTTAAGATTCTACGATCTGTAATTACCCAATATCTATGCCTTCACCCTCCCAGACCCCCGCCCAATCTACCGTCGAGATCTTGTTATAGTTAATTTTTCTGCTCGCTATTGAAACCCGAGCTTTATCCCAACCGCGCGCCATAGTTATTATTTATTTAACCCCCCACCCCAAAAAAAATAAATAACATGATATGAGTGTCAATGATCTATGTAACACTAAGGTTATTTACCTACTGTTTGAGCAACCTGATATGAGTGTCAATGATCTATGTAACACTAAGGTTATTTACCTACTGTTTGAGCAACCTACTTCATAATTTAAACATATAAAAACCTTATTAGTAGATCAAGGTGAATCTAACGAGGTCCCGTGTACAGACTGGCGTGTACGAAAACGTACCCCTGGCAGTTGGAATTTGATATAGGAGTACGCCTCATAGTACTCTGTATAGCGTGTACTCATCTTCATTATCCCAGTAATTCGAATCTAGATGATTAGTATTCCAATGCAAAATATAAAAATCTTAAAACTATTTCCTATTATTTCAGATTGGCGAGATGTTTAAAATATCGAAAGAATTTTTCTATTTACCTGTCGACGTCAAAAGCAATGTTGAACGACCCGTTAACTCGGACCATGGTTGGACCGGAACAGGAAGAGAAAAGTAATTAATGTTACTGCATTTATGTATGGAAGCCTGGTGTTGAAAAGTCGAGAAGTCGGGGGCGAGGGTGAGAGTACGAGGACGCGCGGAAACGGAGCGAGAATGAGCTGGAATATAGTAGATTATTGTGGATTTTGGTTGATTGTGCGGGTGGTGGTAGTCAATGAACATGCGTACGAATCGAACTTCAAGTGCGAGAAGTCGAGATTATGAAATGTCCGCAATATGCTTCCATAATTTAGGACACGCTTGGTTTAAAGCCGCTGGTTTAAAGTTCGATTCAGTCGCCATGGGAGCCACTGTGGCTCGGTGAGTAAGGCTATGGCTCGCTAACCTGGAGGTCCCATGTTCGATCCCGGTGCAAGTCGACACATTAAAGAACCCTTGAGAGCAGGAATTCGAAACAAGAGTAGGTCGCTATTTGGGCAAATTTCGCATAGCATATAGCCCAGTCGGAGCAAGTTAGTAGGACGTTAAACCTCATTTCATTTTATTTGTCATAATCCCAGTTTTGTATGTGGAAATGAGTATAATAGAGTCGCATGCCTAACGCCGTGGGTTTCCAGGTTTTCTGCTTTCCCCCGTTAGCTATAGACACACGACGCAATCGAATTTTCATCCGGATATCGAAGTTAGCATGGTATATTAATTATTCATTGTTTTACAGGATCAATGCCAATCGACCAGGGGATTATAAAGAAACTTTTAACTATGTCCCTCCTGCTGATGGTGTGAGTTCATTTCTTTATCAAATCATATAAGAATCGGTCCCTGTAGCTATAAATAAAATGAGGATATTTCTAGCTAACATGGCAGTCATAATGTATAATTTGCGGTCTAAATCGTAATAATGCTCCAAATCATTTGCTTCAAGTCGAAACTCGTAGTTACCTGATATACGACATAAACCGAACCGGTACCGGATTTAGATAGTACATAGTGATCGGAGCCTCCCACTTTTTGGGATGAGTACAAGATTCTGTGTAACACTATTTAGTGATAACATCAGTTTAGTAAATATATCATTTATTTACATCGGAACAGAAAATTTAAGAGCTACATAAATCAAACTGGAACTAAACTACATCAGGAATATAAACGATAACATTTACATGATATATTAAGACAACCATTCCGCCCTTCTGCCTCGGCAGCGGCTGAACTCGGATGAACCCATTCGCGGTCTCGACTCCTCTCATATACAACTGGCGGTAGTTTTTTCTTTGATGTCCATAGCAGTTATATCTCATAACAACCATGACAAATGAAATGAAATGAAATGGGGTTTAACGTCCTACTGTTCTGCTCCTATACTGGGCTAATGAAGACGGGCATACGCCATACAGTGTGCTATGAGGGAAATTATATCGAATTCCAACTGCCAAGGGATCTTTTACGTGCATTTCAATGTATACATGGGACCTCCGTTTTTCGTCTCGTCCGAAGGACTAGACAGCTGTCCTTGTCAGGCCCTCCGGTCTGCACCACTGACAAGGGGAAACCACGTCGGAAAATCTGGATGAACTTTCTCGGCCAATGCAGGGATCGAACACCCGACCTCCAGGCTAGCGAGCCAGCGTCTTAACCACCTAGCCACCGTGGCTCCCACCTGTCACGACGCCATCATAGGTTGGTATATTCGGTTCATATCAACCACTGATGACGTCACGACAGGTTGATATTTCATATTTCATATCAACCGCTAATGACCTCATCTCAGGTCGATATATTCGGTTCATATCAACCGCTGATGACGTAGATAAGCGAAATAATACAAAGAACACAGAAATAATTTTTTATTCTTTTAACAGTTAAAAATTGTTATGGTACAGTTTGTAGCATTCAGGACCGAAATAGACGGCGTGCTTATCGGCATTTTTAGGTCGGTTATCCATACTCCATGTCTAAGATAGAATTTTCTTTCCCCCCACATTTCGATTATTTCTCCACACACTCCACTTTATAAAGTATTTTTGGGTACAGTCCACTTAAAACAGTCGGTCAAATCCTTCTCTGAACATACCGAAAACCTTCAATCACAGTTCATTGTCAGAATTATCGGAAAAGATTGCCTTTTGATCCATATTTTCTTTAGGCTTTGGATAGATACTCATCGATATTTGCATTCACATCTATTCCATCGTCAATATGTTGGCTAAAAAGGATTGATTATTCGTCTGACTTCGTATTACTATCCATTTTGTTTTTGCTTTCAATTCAATTACTCCAAAATGGCGACTTATAAACAAAAACGTGCACGTACATTCACGTGATTACTTCGGTAATTTTCGCTATTTGACGGAAACTATCGAGCAATTATCCAATCAGTATTGCCTTTTAATAGAAGAGGTCATTAAATTTAAGAGTATAATGGCGTTGTATATGTCGGATATAAACCTACTCTCCCTCGGATTGATATGATAGAGAACACTTGAGCTTCGTCCGGGTGTTCTCTATCATATCAACCTCGAATAGCTTAATATCCTATACTTCTTCTCGCCATCGTCTCTCCTCTGCGTCTCTCTAATTGTTATATTCTTTGAATGGCATTTAGTAATTGGAACATAATCAAAAACACACTTTTATGGATAACAATTACTATGGTTTATTTCACTGCGACGTTTCAACAAGGTTTCACAAGTCGTTATCAAGCATATATACAAAAAAAAAAAAAAAAAAAAAAAATCATAAAAGTGTGTTTTTGATCTCTAATTGTTAGTAAACTGGTGGTTGTATACCTTTCACCTTGGTATACATACACTATTACTATATATGGCATTTACAAGTTATTAATTTCGATGACTGATATAGTCTTTAGTTGAAATGAAATAAAGGGATTAGCCAATGAATCGGTCTGTTACGGCGAGTTATTGGCGTACTGTGCATGGAACTGTGGGCAAACCACTAGAAACGCCAACACTGGTTGATTAATCAATGTTTGACCTCATAGGGCCAAAAGTCACTCGTATGACCTCTGACGCGACCTAACACTACAACCGGTCAGATCTTCATGTAATGTAGGTCACCGAAAGTATTAAAAAAAAAACGAAATATAGATCTGTATTTTATTCAGATTGGGCAAAAATAGACTAATTAACAAATTAACAGACGGAAGCCAACCAAAGACGCCATATTATGATGTTAACCCACCTAGTCAGACCTAAGGAAACTAATAACACATAGAAATTATTAATTACTTCTATTTAATAGGCTTGGCCAGACGCAGACTTACCACAGATGAGGAAAATATTTTATGATTTTTTTGAGATTTGCAAGAAAATGGCGTTTAGAATTTTAGAAGTTCTTGGTGTAGGACTAAAGTTTGAGGTATTGACTGTTGATTATTACGGATTAATATTATTCCAGCAATAAAATATATTGCGTACAGCTCTAACTCAATATTATCCATTTTGATAACGCGTAGTCTCTATCAACCAGAAAATTTTTCGACGAATAGTAGTCTGGATGCGTTGTCGACATTTGAGAATAATAGGTCATTGACTAGATTATCCGGTCTTTTACACTATTATAAACAAAGTCTAAGGGAGGTAACTGATCCTATAAACAAAAAGATATTGACGCTCATGAAATCAATTTAGTTGCATTGCCAGTTCAATATCCAACACTCTTAATTTTTGTTATTGTAAAATTGCTCTCTTTATGGGCCATATCTATGTTGTTGTTTTTTTAAAAAAAATAAATCTTAATTTGTCATCACGGCTCATGTATGTTTATATTACTGCAAGAATTATGGGATTTATTGGGGAAGGTGGCGCAACTCTTACTTAACTTGGCCAAAGATACTGGATAATCAACCACATGAAAAAAACAACTCCCAGTTACGCATGGGCAGTGGAACTTTTCGTCAAATATTGACAACGTTCCCAGACCCTCCATATGTTGAAGACTATGAGATTCTGGGTGACCGAGGCTAGATAACGCGGTTTCTAGAATGCCCAAGGGAGAAAACCCCGTTTTGTCATATTCGATCTGCGTCCGCGTGAAATCCTATAAGGAAAATGACTGTAAGAAACTCTTCTCGGCCTTCTGTAAGCTGTTTGATGTTAATGCTTATGTCTGCTGCATTCAGTCGATCAACTGGATGGGTGCGCCAAACCTTACATTAATAATCCAGGAGATGTGTAATACATAATTTATTTTAATACCTTTATATTTTTGATACAGGATCGAGATTTTCTCAGACGATGTCACAAGGATATCGGAAATAAAAACCAAACGACGCTAAGATCGTTGATGTATCCACCATTACCCAAAGACGGAAGTAAGTAGATGGCATATTTGAATGATTTTGAAAGAGTTCTGACAGTTACTGTTATAGTTACTCCCCTTGATTTACTACGACTTGTCAACACCCTGGAGGCCACAATTTTCTCTGGTATGGTCCAGTGAATAAGCTGTCTACTGGCTAACCTAAAGGTTCCGTGTTCGATACATGCATTGGCCTGGATAGTTCATTGGGATTTTCCGCCGCGATTCCTCCTTATCTGTGGTGCAGCCTGAAGGCCTGGCAAGACACAACGTATAGTTGTTCGGATGGGACAAAAACCGAGGTAAGACACATTGGTGAACACGTTAAAGATTGCTTGTCAACTGAAATTTGATATAAGAGTAGGCCGTAGCGCCGTTGTCTGGCCAAAGTTTCCCTCACAGCACACTGTATGGTGTATATGCCGTCTTCATTAACCCAGTCGGAGCAGAACAGTAGGACGTCAAATCCCATTTTCATTTCTCTGGTATGTTTATATTAAGGAACAATCGTTTGTGGGTTGACGTTTATTCTAATTCCTGGTGCTACCTTCCTGATAGTACCCCCTACACACGCACACGACACGGAGCTCACATACAGGGCTTAGTACCCAGAAATGTAAGAAAGGAGGACATTTTGGAAGTGTGGGGATTAAAGACATTTTAGAAATGAGAGAAGCGAAGACATTTTAGCATGTGAGAAATATTTTGGAAATGTGACATAGGAAGACATTTTAGAAATGTGAGAAAAGCAGGCAATTTAGAAATGTAAGACATTTTGGAAATGTGAGAAAGGTCGACATTTTGGAAATATGAGAAAGGTCGACATTTTGGAAATGTGAGAAAGGAAGACATTTTGGAAATGTGAGAAGGGTCGACATTTTGGAAATGTAAGAAAGGAAGACATTTTAGAAATGTGAGAAAGAAAGCCATTTTGGAAATATGAGAAAGGAAGATATTTTGGAAATGTGAGTTAGGAAGACATTTTTGAAATATAAGATAGGATGACATTTTAGAAATGTGAGAAGGGAAGATATTTTAGAAATTTGAGAAAGTAAGACATTTTGGTAATGCGAGAATGGCAGACATTATGGAAATGTGAGAATGGAAGACATTTTTGAAATATGAGAATGGAAGACATTTATTTAGAAATGTGAGAAAGAAAGTCATTTTGGAAATGTGAGAAAGGCAGACATTTTAGAAATGTGAGAAAGGAAGATAATTTAGAAACGTAAGATGGGAAGGCATTTTAGAAATGTTAGAAAGAAGGACATTTTTGAAATTTGAGAAAGGAGGACATTTTTGAAATTTGAGAAAGGAGGACATTTTTGAAATGTGAGAAAGGAGGACATTTTAGAAATGTGAGAAAGGCAGACATTTTGGATATGTGAGAAAGGAAAACAATTATAAAATTTCAGATAGGAAGAAAATTTAGAAATGTGAGAAAGGCAGACATTTTAGAAATGTGAGAAAGGAAGCGTAAGACATTTTGGAATTGTGAGAAAGGAAGACATTTTGGAAATGTGAGAAAGGAAGACATTTTGGAAATGTGAGAAAGGTAGCCATTTTAGAAATGTGAGAAAGGAAAAATATTTTGGAAATGTGAGATAGGAAAACATTTTAGAAATGTGAGAAAAGAAGACAATTTAGAAATGTAAGATAGGAAAACATTTTAGAAAATGGGAAACGCAAACATCTTGGAAATGTGAGTTAGGAAGACATTTTAGAAATGTGAAAAAGGAAGACATTTTGGAAATGTGAGAAAGGGAGACATTTTGGAAATGTGAGAAAGGAAGACATTTGGAAATGTGAAAAAGGGAGATATTTTGAACAAATGTAATAATAAAACTCGTACAACAAGGTTAACAGCGCTAATTTCAAATTTAAAAATAAAATGATTGGATGCCCACACCCTAACCGAAATGGTTGTGTGGGGCGTTCCCCACTCTGTGCCCTTCTGCTGTCATTCTCACCTGGTAGTAATACTATATTATAGGTATTTTACCTGGTCAGGTGAGATGTGGAGAACATTCTGATTATGGTGCAGTAACTATGTTATTTCAAGATGATATTGGTGGTCTAGAGGTGTGTAATACAGCAGGTGAATATATCCAGGCTACACCTGTACCAGGTGCTATCTGTGTTAATATTGGTGACTTGATGCAAAGATGGACGGCAGATAAATTAATGGCCACGGTAGGTATAGACACAATATATACCCCTACAATAACTTATAGTAACCAATGGTAGCAAATCAAAATGAAATGAAATAACGAATTGAATTCTAATATGACGGCGACTGTTAAGCGCTTTTCACAGTGTATAAAGCCGCATAATATTCAATTTTGTTTTTGGCAGTTCTAGTTTTCTAAGATACAAATGAAATCCAATATGACGGCTATTGTAAGCGGTCTTTAACAGTTGGATATACTCACCAGTTGCGGTTAGCGTATGAATTCTGTTTATGTCCGAAATGCAGTAAAGCAAACATAGGTTATTTTGGTGACCATCTTTGAATTCAAGATGGCGGCTACCAGGTCGTGTCATTTTTGGAGTCCCGTTTTTTCCATGATCCTTAGGTATCATACTACTGACGTGCAGAGATTAATAATTTACTCAAGAAGTGAACGATTCCAGTAGAAATCACTCTCTAGTCACTCTACTACATTTCTTATTCTATTTTCAGAAACACCGCGTATTAATACCAGAAGATGAAGTTCGGAGAAACAAAGGGAGACAATCCATAGCTTTTTTTATTCAGGCAGACGACGACTGTGTTATTAAATGTTTAGATGGGTCTGATAAATACCAGCCTATTACAGCTCTAGATTATCTCAACTGGAGATTTAGTCTCACCTATTAATAGCTCTAGACTATCTCAACAGGAGACTTAGTCTCACTTTTAAAAATTACTAGATTATCTGAACAGGAGATTCAGTCTCGCTTTTAAATAATACTAGATTATCTCAACTGGAGATTCAGTCTCGCTTTTTAATACCTCTAGACTATCTCGTCTAAAGATTTAGTTTCACTTTAAAAACACAAGATAATGTCAACTGGAGACCTAGACCCACTTTTCAATGACTGGATTATCTCAATTGGAGATATAGTCTCACTTTTTATACGCCCACATTTTCACGTGGACGTATATTGTCGTCGCCCATGTCCGTCCGTCCGACCGTACACAATTGTTTGTGAACACTCTAGAGGTCACAATTTTTATCCGATTTCAACGAAACTTGAAATATAGGTTTATCACCCAAAGATCTCATTTCCTTTCGATATTGGCATGTATCGGACTGTAACTTCATGGATTAAATAGCGTAAAAATATGGTATATCAAGGTTGTGGACCCTCTAGAGGTCACAAGTTTCTTCTGATTTTGATGGAACTTGAAATGTAAGTTTATAACCCAAAGATCTCGGCTGCCCCTCGTACGCAAATATTGTAAATATATGGTATATCAAGGTTTTGGACCCTCTAGAGAGAGGATACAATTTTGATCCGATTTTGATGAAACTTGAAATACATGTTTATCACCCAAAGATCTTGGTTCCTTTCAATATTCATGCATATTGGATCGTAACTTCCTGAATTATGGCCCTTGATTGTACGAAAAATCACCTTTTTTTAGCTTGTTCTCTGTCCATCTCTTGCAAAATGTGGTCGTATCTTGCATGGCAACCGCTTGTTGATAACACTAGATTATCTCATCTGGAGACGTGTTCTCACCTTTTAATATCTCTAGATTATCTCAACTGGAGATTCCGTCTCGCATTTTAATACCACTCGACTATCCCAACCGAAGATTCAGTCCACTAGATTATCTCATCTGGAGATTTAGTTTCACTTTTTAATACCATTCGAGTATTTCAACTGGAGACTAAGTCCCACCTTTTGATAATACTAGATTGTCTTATCTGGCGATTAAATTCCTCTTGTGAATAAATCGTCGCACCTGGAAATTTGGTTTCATTTATAAATAACCCTAGTTTATTTCAACTAGAGATTTAACCCCACATAAAGAGCTTAATATTACAACAGTTGGAGATGAAGTCTCACGTAAAATTGTTCTAGATTATCTCAATATTTGAATGGATTTTGTTTGACGGAGCAAGGGTGTGGGGACGAGGGTTGGGTGGGGGGCGAAGGGATAGGGATCGAACATTAAAAATAATTAGACCTGGATGCTCTTCTTAAAACGAATTTGCTCCAAATATCCATGTGCGTATCACTTATTTGGTTGTTTGGGTGTGCGGAAAGCCGAGGTTACACATACAAGTTTTTCTTTCAGCTGGAGGGGGGGGGGGGGGGTGGTGGATGGCCGAATGGTTAGCACGTGCGCGCTGTATCATAAGGCCTGTCACTGAGTCAACTGGCGTGGTTTCTAATCCCCGGTTGTGTCTGACAAGGAGTAGGGTCGCCTGTCCAGCCCCGTGTCCAACCTTGTGTCTGACATGGAGTAGGGTCGCCTGTCCGACCTCGTGGGTTTTCTCCGGGTTCTCCGGTTTCCTTCCACTGCTAAAGACCCCTACGCGCAAGCGAATTATTGAAATGAAATTAAATCATATGTTAGTCCCAAAATGACCTGGTTTGTGTCGAGTGGACGTTAAACCCCATCTCTCTCTCTCTCTCTCTCTCTCTCTCTCAGAAGAAGAATTGCTAGAAATAGAAGGAGTATAGTCGTCCATATAGCTATCATTGTGCCATTGTTCTCCTTATAGCGACTTAGAAAGTATAAATACGCCCATGTATAATAAATATACACGGAGAGAGATTATGGGGTTTAACGTCCACTCGTCACGAACTAGGCTATTTCGGAATTAACATATGGTTCAATTGTTTTATCAGTAATTCGCTTGCGTGTAGTTATCTTTAGCAATGGTGAGTAGCCTGAGGACAGGAAGAAATCCCGTGGGGTGGGAAGGTAACCCTTATAAAGCACAAGATGAGAATCGTAACCCAACCACTTGACTTAATGACAAGCCCTGGGATCTAACGCGCATGAATATACACCGGTAGTTACCTAGGATGACCCGGAGCTTCTCCTTTGGATAAATTTCATCCTGGGCGCTTCCCTGCAAAGACATTGTGTCCTACCCCAAAAAGCTGGATCATGCCTATTTTTGTGGATTCTTCTGGCAAGTTTCTTAGGAAACATCTGTCTACGATATCATCCTTGGTGGAAGTGGACGTAAAACTCAGTGAACTAACGAACGAACCTAGGATGATGAAATGAAATAAAATAAAATGGGGTTTAACGTCTGTGCCCACTGCACAGTGTATTTAAACTCAAAACAAAGTAAAAGTTCAAAGTTTATTAGAATAATAACCGCTGAACTCAATCCCATATTTGAAACACAGTGAAATTCACAACAGTCAACCGATGTACATACTAAATCATATATGTATTAGAAAAACAGTTTACTGAATGGGTTTAGATATCCGCATCTAACCGCACATTAACAAATTCACGGAATTCACTGGTTTTCAAGTTGTTTGGGGTCACATCCTCAAACAAATACCGAATAAACCGTCCACACTTGGAAATGACAACACGCCATCATTATATTTTTACCGCGAACTCTCAAACCGAGGCTCGGATTAAGACCGCCAGTAAGATTTTCCGAAAACCAGTGAAACCGAAAGTAGACATCAAACTCTACCCTTATACATTTTACAAAATAACACTATTAAACATATACTAAAGGGATATGGTAGCTACACCAGCCCCTACATAAAAATGACAGTAAACATTTTTATGTACAAAAAAAAACCAATTAGCTACCATTTTAATTCTTATGGCTAACTCAATAATAAATACAAATTACAGATTTCCAAACAGTTACTTTAACATACATGTACATCAATAACTAATTATCTAAGATAACAGGTTCGTCCAATTCAAGTAAACATACTTTATGAATTGGTCGAGTAAGAACCACATAACCATCTTTAATATTAGCATCCTTGTGATGCTTTGCACAAGTCGCAACGGTTGCTTTTGTTTTAAGCTTAACGGTGCGCACAAACCCATCCTTAGACACAAATACTTCCACAATTCGAGCCAAGGGCCACTGACCGCGTGGGTAATTATCATCCGCTAAAAGCACTAGATCCCCAATGCAAATGTTACGTTTGGCGTGATTCCACTTAGATCGTTCCAATAATGTAGGCAAATATTCCTTTACCCATCGGCGCCAAAAAACATCACTCAAATATTGGGCCTGTTTCCATTTACGTTTTAAATATAAGTCCTTCTTTTCGAATATACCAGGGGGTAAACTATTACTACATCTAAGATGCAACAAATGATTTGGTGTTAAAGGCCCGTCGTCTAAAACACTATCACTGTTTCTCGTTAACGGCCTACTATTCAAGATAAACACCACTTCAGCTACAACAGTTAATAAAACTTCATCCGAAACTAACTGTTCCTTTAATACAGATTTTAATATTTGGCGTACTGAACGAATCATTCGCTCCCACACACCACCCATGTGGCTGGCCGCAGGTGGATTAAAATTCCAAGTTATATTCCGCTGAACACAAAATCTAGAGAGTTTAGACTGATTAAAATCCTTAAGTGCCTCTTTAAGTTCCTTATCCGCGCTTGTGAAATTCGAACCATTATCGCTCCATATCTCCTCTGGTTGACCACGAACACTAACAAATCTCCGTAAGGCATTTATCATAGAATCCGTGTTTAGTGAATGTGCAATTTCTATATGCACAGACCTTGAAGTCATACAAGTAAAAAGGCAGCCGTACCTTTTCACAACACTTCGTCCCTGTTTCACTAACAAAGGTCCGAAATAATCAATTCCAACGCACGAAAACGGTGGTTTATCAGCAACAAGTCTTTGTTTCGGTAAATTGCCCATAAACTGAGTTTCGGTTGGCTTAGATCTCCTCTGACAGGTTACACATTTTGAAAGTATCCGTCTTACCGCTGATCGGCCTTTTATTATCCAAAACTTCTGTCTTAAAGTGGCAAGAACCGTTTCTTGTCCCATATGACCGACACTAACATGACACTCTCTAATTATTAAGTCCGTAACCGAGTGTTTGTATGGCAAAATTACTGGATGTTTCGCCAATCCATCAATTGAAGCATTCTCCAATCGACCTCCAACGCATAACAGTTCATTTTCCAGTTGAGGATTCAATTTAACCAACGAAGATCCAACTTCCTTTAATGACGATTCATTAGACTCAGATTCTAAACTTAAAGCTTTATACGTCTTTGGAAAATCTCCTTTCTGGACAAATTTAATTATTTGCGATTCGGCATAACTTATTTCTTGTACAGACAAATATTTTAATAACTGTCTTGGTTTACTCCCGTTTAATCGTTCCGACACTTTGTCTCTTAAAATAGTCTTTAGACGTATCAGATAAGCAACAGCTCTTTTTAATTTCCACCAAGATGAAAAATATTCAAACAGTTTATCAAACAAAGTTCTGTCCGGGACATTAACCGTAGCATACACTTGAGCTTCTTTACGTATTTCTGGATCAGTATCCATCATTTCAGGAATGTTCACTTTATCCGGCCAAAACAACTCATCACGATACAAAAAGTCAGGTCCCGTTAACCACCTATCGTTTTGAATAAACGATTTCATCTTTAACCCTTTAGACCCGTCGTCAGCGGGGTTAATGTTCCTGTCAATGTACCTAAATTGAGAGGGGTTTGAACCTAAATGAATAACGGTTAACCGGTTTGATTCAAAAGTGTGAAAACGTTTAGTTTTATTGTTAATACACTTAAGAACCGACATTGAGTCAGTCCAATACACAACTTTGTTAATTTCAAAGTCAATTTCACTCTTTATCAAGTGACACAATTTCACGGACACA